AATGGGGAAAAGTTATGGGTCCACGTGGAAAAATGTGTGGTTGAAAATGAGTTTGGAGAAAAACGAATTTTAAAGAATCTGTACCAAACAAGGGCCTAGGTCATATCTAAAACATGTTTGGTCCATCCTCTATATTATAAAGGAAGAGTTTATAAGAATGATGACAGAAATGATGTTTAAGTTATACATCAAGTTCAAGATGAATTCTATCTTCAGCTAGCACTTGAGAATGATAAGACTTGTCATGATCATCATGAAATTGAGGATTAAAGTTGAAATTTAAGAAAAATCATTTTGGGTTTTGTGGAATGACCTCGACTCTAAAGTCAGAAACCCTGATTTCCTTCTGCAAATAGAGAGTTTTGTTAACTTTTTATAGCCACTAAAAGCTGAAAAATACAGCAATTAGTTCATATTCTTTTCCAGAGTCCAACATCAGTAGGTGCACCCAGCATTTGTACATCGACAATGCATTTGATTCCGAAACAAGAGTATAATGTTATTCTGAAAAAAAAATTTAAGGCCATCTGACAAATGTAATTTCCTTTGTCCTCTACTTTCTGGAGAAGTAAAGAATTGAAGTTTTACTTGCCTTAGAGATGATTTTAGCATATCATCAATTTTGTCAATAAATTTACCACATCACAAGATGTATTACCACCGCCAGAAATTTTGGAGTTTCCATGAACAGTACATACTAATGGAGTCATCTTATGCACTGATATTACTGAAGAGAATGTCTCTAATCATGAATTTAGAAAACTAACCCAGATTCCCCGGCACAATATAACTGAGCTTGCTCCTCTCGACTTGCTTCGTCAATTGACCACCAACCAAGGAATCTGATATGTAATGTAAGCACATGCATTCAAACAAAGCCCGTTCATTTTTGGAGGGAGTACAGGATCCTTCTCATACAAATTGACAATCATTACCTTGATCCATGATGCAAAAAATCAAAATAATCACGGGTGCTTTGTGATATTATAAAACGGCTTCCTGTATCACCTTCATGGTGCAGAAGAAGCACAATTTTTTCCAAAAACCTAAAAATAGCAAACAAAAATCCAGCTCCTTGCAGCAGGAGAAGAGGAGAAAACAAAACTGGAATTGGAATATGTTTAGCACCAGGTGGCTTTCCCTGTAATTTAAAATAAGATTGTGAATATACCTTTTAAACTGCATGTTAGTATCCAAAAGGACCAAAACAGAGATTGTCATAAATCCAAAAGGATCAAAACAGAGATTCTCATAACTGAACATACCTCTAAGTGCATGAATAGCATCAACTGAAAAACAATTAAGGGTATTTTCATCACATGCCCACCAATGTCTTGCAAACTACATACTCTATTCTGTTGATCATCATCTGAAAATGCCATCATACTGCTACTTGAGCTAAGATATCTCATACTTGTTGAAGATGAACCGGCTCTAGTAAGATGAGAACGCCTATGAATTGCAGGGTTATACCACTTTGTGCAAATAAGAAAGGCAAAGCACTCTGCAACACTGAAAAGTGAATGCTACTGTTTCAACATGCAATACAAAGAACCTAGACATATAAGTAGATAAATGCAAATAAGTAAAATGAAAAAACCAATGTACCCATAGCTGATAAATAGATCCCACCAACCAAGAGCAGCAACATCACCTACATAATTGCAGAGTGGGAGAGAAAAAGGGCAGGGGGGCAGGGGCGGGG